AATTATATGTAGGATGATATATTTTCACTTTAAATTTTATGTATGATATAAAATATTCTCTTATTTGTTTCAGATACATGAGGCATAGAATTGCATTTTTTTTCATAATGTAAATAATTTGGCATAATTTTCTGCATGTTTGAGATGTTTTTACCTTGTGTGCAGGCTGATTCTGACCCCAGGAATTCATTTTTTGGTGGCTACTAGGTGGAATAATTATGGGGCATAGACAATTATTAAGCACATCCCAAATGTTTGAAAGTGGACATGATCAGAACTGGAATCATATGCATACGGAACAACCTTATGCAAATATGGGTATTGTTACTTATAATGTTTTTACCTGTACATTTGTTCTTTAGTTATTATATTCAACATTGTTGATCAATAATTTTGCTGTAGAATGGTTACTATGTTTCTTTTACTCACTGTGATAAACTATTTTTTTCATCGGAATTATTTATTTACATGGCAGCGTATGTGTTCTATTCGATATCTCTCTCTCTCTCTCTCTCTCTCTCTCTCTCTCTCTCTTTTTTTTTTTTAAAGAGTTCCATTACACAGCTCTAGCTTTAACTGTGTGACTTCCGTTACTCCCTCTAGGTTGCCACATCTATAATGACAATTGCCTCATCATGCCTATCAACTAATTGTCCTTGCAACACTGTGTAACTGATCAAACATTGAAAATTTAAACTTTGACAAATCGGACTATCTTTATCCTCTGACAAGGTGCCTTTTAATTGCTAATTTTGGACATGATACAGTCTTGTTAGAATGTAAGACCTGTAATGTCATTTATGATTTTGTATTGTGTATAATACTTTATCTGTAGAGAACTGTGGACTCATCTTTGACAAGTCTTTTTGCTAATATTAGATTTGTATTGCAGGCAGGGTTGGGACTGCGGAGAATGGTTCTTTCTTATATCCTGGGGAAAACATGTCTGTGGATGGAGTGCATTTTGCTTCTCACTGGAACCCTGCACCAAGCTCAAATGGGTTTACCTCTAGTCACAATAGTGAAATGCCACATTACCAACCAGATGGTTCCGGACCGTCCTATGATCCTTTTCTGCATCCATCAACTGCTGATGGATCCTTTTATACAGCCCCAGTAAACTATGTTCATCATACTGCTTCTTCCAATTATGATCGACAGACATTCCACGGCATTGAAGGTGGTTTTGTTGATCTTACCATGGGCAATGGAAGAGGGCCTCACAAGAGAAAAAGCCCCGGGGTCCCTTCAGTTAGTGAGAGAGGCAGCACAAGCAGATTCTATAATGCTGGAAGTTCCTCTGATCTCCCTCTACCTTCTGAAATCTGGCAGGAGAAACCTAATATGGATTCCCAACACATGTCTTGGGATCACAGTACTGTAACTCCAAGTTATAGAAGTAATGCCCTCACAATAAGGGGTGAGGGCTCTATGAGGAATGTCAGAAGCCGCCCTGCACTTGATTTGGAACCCAATCTTGCTAGGGCGCATTTATCAACCAATCCTTCCCACAGTTCTTATTCAGCAGGCCGGCCCGTTGATCCTTCTAGCTCAATGGATCATTCAGTTCAGAATTCTAGTACCTTGACTAGGGAGTGGGGCCATAATAGAGTATCTCCTGCTCACAGAAGGATTCAGGTTTCAGGTAAATTACTGGTGCATTATTCTGTCATATATGAATTTCTTGTCGTTAATATGACTTGTTGGGAAATTACAGATCCAGGTGTTTTTAGTCATGAGAGTAGTCACTCTCTTGTTGGAAGCAGTGCAGCAAATGCTTCTGTAGAGATTGGGGCTTTTCATCATGATTTCATTTTGGGAAGAAATCCTGTTGCTCCTCAAAGTTTTCACGGTACCTCAACTCAATCTGTGAGGGGTGTTCGCAGTAGCTATTCTCATCAGAGATCTACCCCAACTTTTAGGGCTTCTTCAAGCACTATGCGTGTGGGACATGTGGGATCTTCAGATGAGGGAATGCAGTTGGTAGCTGAAAATTATTCCTCTGGACATCCAAGGCCATTGTCCTCCTTAGCATGGCGTCACAATGATAGGAGTGGGAGATCAAGAATATCGCATGACAGACACCGTTCACTGGCAGAAGAGCCAAGTCTCCATGATCGATTTTCTTCTGAGGTATGTACTTTTTGTGTAGGAATTTTGCTTCTTGTGCCACTTGACAGAGTTTATGCATTATCTACTGAGATCAGGAAATTTTTTGTCACGGCACTGTCTGAAAGCATTTCATCCTTTCACTGGAAATGAGTAGTTTAGTTTATCACAAATATTGCTTCCCATTGTAATCTTGTATCTTGTCTGGGAATTCCTGGTTGCTAGTAGTGAGATGCTGTCATTTGAATGATATGAGAGAATTTGAAATTGGCGACCTTAGTTGTGTGTTGGCCTTCTTTTTGATTATGTGGTACTTGAACCTACATTTATTTCCTATCTGTAGTCTGATTTGTAGAGCTAGGAACACCTATCGGCATTGACTGCTGCTTGTGCTGTACTTGGATAAGTACTATCTTGAAACTTAATGAAAGAGATTAATGAAGTTGACTGAAAATTGTACTGACTGATGTTGAGTCTATTGCATTTGATTTTACTCTGCCCTATTGACTATTATTGCTAAGGCCTGTCCAGAATCATTAGTACATAAATTATTTTTCAATTTGGTTATTGCCATCTGTTTCTGAAAGATGTACTTTATTTTTATTTTGCAGGGTTTTATGATCGTAGACCGCTCAACCATGTATGGGCCAAGAAGTATGCTTGATCAGCATAGAGACTTGAGGCTAGACGTAGACAATATGACCTATGAGGTTATCATCATTTTTCAATGTCAATTACATTATTAATCCTTTGTTATAATTGTTTGATCCTGAAAAATATTGAATGATTGACCTGAGCAGGAACTACTAGCACTAGGGGAAAGGATTGGGAACGTTAGCACCGGGTTGTCTGAAGATCTGATATCCAAATGCTTGACAGAAACAATATACTGTTCATCAGATCAAATGCAGGAGGAGGGAACTTGCGTAATTTGCCTGGTAAGGAATTGACCTTGTTTGAAATTTGAAATCTGCCAAATTCAGGACTATCATGTGTCAAAGTATAACCGACTTTTATTGTTGTCAATTATGTTAATGAAATGAGTTGTCTTAATGTGTGTCTAAGAACATGTTAAAACCACAAACGGACAAAAAATAGATTATATCAATGTATTGGAAAATGTGTTTTTTTTTTTTTTTTTCTTTGGCTTTTGTAGATAAAATGCATTGAAATAATCATTTTTTTTGTCGGATTGTGTTAGGGCTCATGTTAAATAAACTCTATTGAAATTTCTGTGATACATTGGTGGATTTACTTGTTTTCTCTTCTATCTGTGCATGTTTGGTGACTTAACCGAGTTTTGTTGTTTAACCTGAGGAAGTTGTCCAATGAATTTGTATTGTGATTGACAGGAAGAATACAAGGATTTGGATGATGTTGGGACACTGAAAACATGTGGGCATGATTACCATGTTACCTGCATCAAGAAATGGTTATCGATGAAGAACATGTGTCCAATCTGCAAAGCTTCGGTTATGGGGGATAATAAAAAGGAATAACTTATTTGTTCCTGTGGTTTATCATTTATCATTATCATTCTTGTATATATAAATATAAATATATATATATGTTTGTGTGTGTGGGGAGGGAGGGATGCCCTCAGATGAAGGAAACAATCTTTCTTAGAAAATTTGTAAATTGAATGGTAGTCAATGTCAGTCCATTTGTTCTTGGCTTCCATCTCAATTTTGTGAAGCCTTCAATTATTACTAATATTTTTTGTGATTTTTATTTGCTAGTGCTTCTATATAATTTTCTAGACTGAATGATCTTATTTCTTGTAATGGGAAAAAGATAAGAAAATGAAATAGATCAAGTCAGTAATTAGTTGAAGCTATTATTTGAAGCTTACCAATATGAGTAGAAGAGAAAGTTGATATGCTCTATATGAATAGGATTTGGTTTATTTCTTTTCAATTGAAACAGGAGTTCTGTGATTTAAACCCATCATATGGGTATGGTCAAATAATGTGGTTTAAACCGAATTACAACAAAACATTTAATGGAATATGAAATTCAAATAAAAGGGTAATACTATTTTCATAAATCCTTTTTATTAATTTTTTTTCTCTTAATTTTTTTCTCATAAATGCAATATAACAGTTTGCAATAGATTTCTTTTGTCCAATAATAAGTTTTGTCTAATCAATTGTAAGTTGATTAATTGAAAACTATATATTACGGTTTATAAGAGAAAATTAGTGCAATATCAGTCTATCTTTATTGCAAATAAAAAGAGCATTTTAAAGCATAAATTATAAAGTAAAATGTGAAAAAAAAAAATAATAATAAATAAACAAATTGGTGGCGATAACTTGGTAATTAGTTGGTTAAGACTTGAGCATCCTCTGAATGTCTGAATCACCTGTGTGTGTCTCTTCGAGCCACGAATAAAATTCACCGCAATAGGAAAAAAATTAANATAACAGTTTGCAATAGATTTCTTTTGTCCAATAATAAGTTTTGTCTAATCAATTGTAAGTTGATTAATTGAAAACTATATATTACGGTTTATAAGAGAAAATTAGTGCAATATCAGTCTATCTTTATTGCAAATAAAAAGAGCATTTTAAAGCATAAATTATAAAGTAAAATGTGAAAAAAAAAAATAATAATAAATAAACAAATTGGTGGCGATAACTTGGTAATTAGTTGGTTAAGACTTGAGCATCCTCTGAATGTCTGAATCACCTGTGTGTGTCTCTTCGAGCCACGAATAAAATTCACCGCAATAGGAAAAAAATTAATAAAAAGAAAAAGTAAACGATGGAAGGTTCTAGATCGTTCAAATAAAGTAGTCAGTTACGTAAGCAAACTTTAAACCAACTCATCTGGACCACTCCTTTCCCTTCTAGTACGCATTGGCGTTCTCTTCGAAACCTTCACCAAGTCGGCATTTTCTCTTATATAAACACCCTTCCTCCCCCTTTCTTCTTCACAATTCTATTCTAGCAATCCTCTATTTCTCTATTTCAAGTTTCAACAACAATCTTCTCAACATGCAGATCTTCGTCAAAACCCTAACCGGCAAGACCATCACTCTCGAGGTCGAGAGTTCCGATACAATCGATAACGTCAAGGCCAAGATTCAAGACAAGGAAGGGATCCCACCGGACCAGCAACGTCTCATCTTCGCCGGAAAGCAGCTTGAGGACGGCCGTACTTTGGCTGATTACAACATCCAGAAGGAGTCAACACTCCATCTTGTCCTCCGTCTCCGTGGAGGCATGCAGATCTTCGTTAAGACTCTCACCGGCAAGACTATCACTCTTGAGGTCGAGAGTTCTGACACGATCGATAATGTCAAGGCCAAGATCCAGGACAAGGAGGGGATCCCCCCGGACCAGCAGCGTTTGATCTTCGCCGGAAAGCAGCTCGAGGACGGCCGTACCTTGGCCGATTACAACATCCAGAAGGAGTCAACTCTCCACCTTGTCCTCCGTCTGCGTGGAGGCATGCAAATCTTCGTTAAAACCCTCACGGGAAAGACCATTACTCTTGAGGTGGAGAGCTCCGACACCATCGATAATGTTAAGGCCAAGATCCAAGACAAGGAGGGGATCCCACCGGACCAGCAGCGTCTGATCTTTGCCGGAAAGCAACTTGAAGACGGCCGTACCTTGGCCGACTACAACATCCAGAAGGAGTCAACCCTTCACCTTGTCCTCCGTCTCCGTGGAGGCATGCAGATCTTTGTCAAGACTCTCACCGGTAAGACCATCACTCTCGAGGTGGAGAGCTCCGACACCATCGATAACGTGAAGGCCAAGATTCAAGACAAGGAGGGTATTCCACCGGACCAGCAGCGTTTGATCTTCGCCGGCAAGCAATTAGAAGACGGACGAACCTTGGCTGATTACAACATCCAGAAGGAGTCTACCCTCCACCTCGTCCTTCGTCTCCGTGGTGGTATGCAGATCTTCGTCAAAACCCTAACTGGGAAGACGATCACCCTTGAAGTGGAAAGTTCTGACACCATAGACAATGTGAAGGCAAAGATCCAAGATAAGGAGGGAATTCCACCGGATCAGCAGCGTTTGATCTTTGCTGGGAAGCAATTGGAGGACGGTCGTACCTTGGCCGACTATAACATTCAAAAGGAGTCGACTCTCCATCTGGTGCTGAGGCTTCGTGGAGGTATGCAGATTTTCGTCAAGACCCTTACGGGGAAGACGATAACTCTGGAGGTGGAGAGTTCTGATACGATCGATAATGTCAAGGCTAAGATTCAGGACAAGGAGGGGATTCCACCTGATCAGCAGAGGCTTATCTTCGCTGGGAAGCAGCTGGAGGATGGGCGTACCCTGGCTGATTATAACATTCAGAAGGAGTCTACCCTCCACCTTGTCCTCCGTCTTCGTGGTGGTGAATTCTAAGTGAAAATTGGATGGTGGTGGTGTGGTTTCTCTGCCTGTCTGTCTGTGTGTCTGTCTGGAGTTTACCAGTATTTCCTGGTCATGAAGTTGAGACCAGTTTCAGTTTCGTTTCCGTTATTTAATAGCTGTCTTTGTCTTGTGTTTTTCTTTGCTTTGGAATAATAATAATAGTTTCTCGGTTGAACGGTTCAGTTAAAAAGTGTTTTAATCTTGTGTTGGTTGATAACTTGATATTATAAGTGAAGTTGAAGTGTATTGATTTGAATACGGAAGATGAAGAAAACCCTTCTATCTGTTGGGTAGCTCTACTGTATTCTTTGTGGGGGACGTATGAAGGTATAGTTCATCTGCGCTGAGTGTAATTCTATTTGGTTCTCTGATTGCTGTCAAGTCAAGTGTGCAGTGCTTCCTAGGCAGCAAGGGCTTTGTCGTGATTCTATCTATAAAAATGTGCTTCCTCCCATCGGATCTTGAAGCCGGATGTTTTGTGTTTTCATCAAGTCCACCTGCCCAACATTCTCTTCTTTTAAATGTTGGTTTTCGCAATGCTTTCGTGGTTTATATATGATTCAAAATGTGGGCTTCGTTTGATTAAGAGTACGGTGCCTAACAGTATTTATGGCTTTCGCATATTTAGATGAGGAAAATCATTGCAGAGTATTATGGCTTTAGTAAAGTTAGATGGAGAAAATTAGGTCCCTACAAGGGAGGTGTTACTCAATTGGTTTCCAATTAGTACAGGATAGAATTAAACTTGAAAGAAGGTAATTGCAAAATAAGTTAGTTATGTATGACCATCCCATATATATTGCATACTTAACTTATATTTCATTTTGTGGTTGTGGCCAACACGTTAGTATAGAAGTAACACCTCATCCGCATGTATTATTCTTCAACATTTTGTTAATAGAGGGATGCAACATTTTAAAAACACCATCGCAATATTTTCCCATTAACTACCCATCTGATACACCATCTACAGTAACATAAATCAAATTAGTCAATGAAATTATATAAAAATAACATCTTCTAGTTGTCCTCATTAATAATCGTTTAAAAATAACATCTTATATAATAATGAACTTTAAAGCTCATGATTAAATGAGTTTAACTAATGGCAATTACTGGTATAAAAATATTGTTTTAAAAGGAATAAGTGTTGCTTTAATCGTTTTTTATGCTATATAATTAGCTGTAAAGGCATCAAAAGTAATGACAATTAAGAGAAGCTACCATCAAATTCTTTCTCCGTTTTTATTTTTTCTTCCACTTTCATCCTCTTTAATTTTATTTTTCAATTAAAAGGAGACCGGAAGTTGCGGGGAGCAATAAGGAAAGTTAATAATATTCCATTCATATCTACTCTTTACTTTATTTCTTTTTCCATTACAATCATAACTCCTTCCTTCACTCCCAATCATCATCCATTCAACGGTCAGTTGCTCCTTTAACTTTTTCTTTTGCCCTCTTAATATAATCTGTCAAAGATTAATCGCTGAATTAGCTATCGTTATATGATCTTTTGAATAAAAGACCTCGCTTCAAATAAGTTTTTTTTATCTTCTATTTGAATTCACATACCTTGGTTTGAGATATAATACATGGAGCTATTGTTATATGATTGTTAATATTTTGATTAATTTGAAAGGCACACATTCTCTGATATTCTTATTCTGCATCATCTTAATCAATATTTTTCATAGAAACTGTGGAACTCTTTGTTGCCTGTGGCTGGTTTGCTCTTTTGTTGAGTTCAATGTTCTATTATCTATTTTAAAATATGCATTTTATTCTTCTTGTTTCTTCTCTAGTAAGAAGATAATATTTTAAGAGAAATTGGAAATCCTTAGAAGTTTAGAAAATAACATAAATCTTCATACCATTAAGTTTTTATTTGTTAAAATAAACAGTATAAGGCTAATTTAGTAATATTTATGAGTCATTAATAGTGTAAATTTTAATGGTTCACTAATAATTTGTGGTATGTCTAGTTTCCTAATGGTCAGATTTGTGTTGCACGTCCCTGAGGTACATCAAAGCTCGATGGTCAAGATCCTCTCATTTGTCGTTCTAAGGTGTTTACTGTCATAAGTATGAGTTAAGTTGCTAGTAACATGGCTCTATCTGTCACAAGGATAGGAATTATTGACTCAAATCTTAATTAGGGGGATTATACATGCAAACAACCTCGTAACACCTACTCTCAACTACAGTCAGACAAACCAAGTATAAAAAGAGCATACAACCGATTCCAGTTGATTAATAAAGTTCAAGAGAAAAAACATTCAAACTCCCTTTTAGAGAGTGTTCAAAAAGAATAGATCACGAGAACTTAATGCTCTTCGTTTAGCCCACGAACTTTCCTTTGTAACTTCATTTGATCTTGTAACTCCCCCAACAATAAAATAATAGTAGATGAAGGTTTGGTTTTGATATCGTTGAACCACTATAAAATCTCTTTTGTTTTTTACTTTATTATGTCGTGTTTAACAACGTTGTTGGTTACTAGTAATCACGCGTACATCTTACTTGGTTCCTTCTAAACGTACAAATTATTGCATCAACAATTTGGTTATTCATCTTCGATCATTCTTGTATTGATTTTGATAGACTCATCACCCAACTAATAATCACCTATCCATATTTTGTTAATTGGAAATTATTATCAAAATAAATCACTTAAATAAAATAAGTTGCAAGAGCTTAGTGTTTTTTTGTGGTAAAGAGAGGATACATATTGTTCAATTCTTCTTATTGAATAAAATATTTGTATAATATATTTCTAAAAAAGAAATGTTAATATTAATATCTACTTGTGCAATAAAAAAACAGAGGAAAAGAACAAGAAGGTGCAACGAGGCGTAATGAATAGGGCAGGCTAATAATGTTCCACCGTTTCATTTTGACCGCTACTTTTATTCTACATTACGACCGCTACTTTTCCTTAACTTAACCCACTTGGCTTCCCTCCCATTTCTATATAACCCCTGCCTCTTCTCTTCTACTTTTCATCCTTCCTTCTCATCAATTCTCAATTATTGCTTTCTGCTGTTATAAGTTTCCTTCTTTTTGCCTTCTCTAAACAAACCTCTTGAAGATGCAGATTTTTGTGAAAACTCTCACCGGCAAGACCATCACTCTCGAAGTCGAGAGTTCCGACACCATCGACAATGTTAAAGCCAAAATCCAAGACAAAGAAGGGATCCCTCCTGACCAGCAACGTTTGATCTTCGCCGGCAAGCAACTCGAAGATGGCCGGACTTTGGCCGATTACAACATTCAAAAGGAGTCAACTCTCCACCTTGTCCTCAGGCTGCGTGGTGGCATGCAAATTTTTGTTAAAACCTTAACCGGAAAGACCATCACTCTAGAGGTGGAGAGCTCCGACACCATCGACAACGTTAAGGCGAAGATCCAAGACAAGGAAGGAATTCCTCCGGATCAGCAGCGTTTGATCTTTGCCGGTAAACAACTTGAAGACGGTCGTACACTTGCTGATTACAACATCCAAAAGGAGTCGACCCTCCATCTTGTCCTCCGTCTTCGTGGAGGTATGCAAATTTTCGTTAAGACTCTTACAGGGAAGACTATAACTTTGGAGGTGGAGAGTTCCGATACAATTGACAATGTGAAAGCGAAGATTCAGGATAAGGAGGGAATTCCGCCGGACCAACAAAGGCTTATTTTTGCAGGGAAGCAGTTGGAAGATGGAAGGACTCTGGCTGATTATAATATTCAGAAAGAGTCTACCTTGCATCTGGTGCTTCGTCTGCGTGGTGGTGAATTCTGAGTGTCTGCGTCAAGTTTTAATTTTCTTGATGATTGTCTTGTAATTGGCCTTTGGTTAGGTTGGTTTTAGTTGCTTCTTTTTAAGGTCTTCTTGTACTATGTATCTTTCTGATTTCAATAAGAAGCTTTTCGTTCGTATTTAAAATTTTAAACTTTGTTTTTGCTCAATTAATATTTAAGATTATGAACAAATGTAGACTTTCATTGACAATATTGCGGAACTTTTTCTCTGGAGCAACGTAACCTGGGCATGATTGTGGTTGAATATCTGGGTTTCAATGTGCTTAAGGTGGAGGTCTTAAATTTTGTTTCTTTTGCCCATGACTTAGAATTTTCATGCCTTTGTTCAAGTAAAATACGCAGAAGTGATGACTGAACTACACTTCAAAGGGAACAATATTAAGCATTAACGTTGATTCTTCTGTTACTTTTCAGGACTACCCGCTTCAATCTCATCCCCTCTTCTTGCTAGGCCTACTTACCGACCCACCATCTGTTACGGCAGCCTTAAGGTCATGAAAAACAGTACCATTGCAGGGCATACCACTAATTACCTGTAATTATCCTGCCACTACGTTGGCTAATTTGGAATTGTACTTGGTCACAAAGCTTCTTGTCCCCTTATTCTATGGGCATGCTGCAAGTTTCCGTTTCTCTACCGCAATTTTGCGTGTTCATGACTCCACCAACACCGCCCTGGCTAACACGCAATGTAATGTTAGCTGCTAAGAAAAAGAACCAACTAAAGAGTTCAATGCTTCCATCATCACAAAATTTTTGCACGCCACTTCCTCAACCAAGATTGACCGCAATTGCGACTGATACTCCTGGGAAGGCTGAAATTAATTTCAGCAGGAAGCGTGCACTACCAAAACTGCTGCAATATTGTGGACTTGTCTAGAGCGACCAGTCTTCAGATGGAGAGGATCAAATCCTGTAATGTAGACTTGTTCGGCATTACTTACTCATTTAGCCGGGAGCCCAGAAGAACTTTTTAATAATTGAATATTGATTGTTATAGTTATTGGTTTTTGAAAGGGATTTGCAGGTTAATCAGAAGCCAAAAGAATTGGTCGTTCATGTGTAGACTTCCTGCCAAATGTGATAAGACTTGAGTATTTCAATGCAAAATTTTATGAGGCTTAGAAATCTGATGGTTGCCACCGACAGTCAAGAGAGCAAAAAACCAAAAATGGGGCATTCCGAGAATTGAACTCGGGACCTCTCGCACCCTAAGCGAGAATCATACCACTAGACCAAATGCCCTAGTCGCATGTTCTTCGCTTTACATATAATATATATTTGTGTTTAACGTAAACAGCACCCATGGGAATTTTATCATCATAATTAAAAGAAGTTGCAATGCATCCATTATTAAGGGATAATAAATTGAGCAAGTACAAATTAAACTTAAAAGAAACATATCAGCTAATTAATATTATAGTCCTAAAAATATATTTATAAAATTTTAACCCCATTCATTTGTTTTATTCCAAGAGTTAAAAAATTTCAGAGAGAATATCAAGTCAGTTTCTTTTCCATAGGTTATCTTTGCTCTAAAAATAAAGATTACAATCAGAATGAAGGATCAGTATCAAAATTGAGAAATTGAGAAAGGGAGTCCTCTATTTATAGTAGAAGAATTCAAGGTAATAATTACAAATCTGCAAGTGGGTAGATGTTGTGCAAGTCCTTCCTTGCTTCATATTGGCTAATAACTTAGGAAATATCCTCAAATTATCTGAGGCTTGGATAGGTGTGCGGTCCTTAGTCACTCATAGACAAAACATGAATCTGTCAAGTTGGTGATAACCATATTCTTTCTGTCATGGAGCAACGTGACAGCTCCTAGACAGCACAAAATCTTCCTAAACTCTTATTGGTGTTTGTTGATGTAAGCTAACGTTAACTCTAATTTTTTAGGCATAACAATTTTTAACTAATATTGAACGTATTCTTATTAAATATTTTTTAATTATATGCTTAAAATTGTTTTGTTGAGAAAATAATGTTATATATATATAACTTTTAAGCGATATAACATGAACATTAATTTAGAATTATCACATAATCGAAAAAAAAGAATAACGTGTAAATTACATGACAAAATTAAATTATTGACACGTTATTTCATTTGCTTAATTTGGTATGTGAATTTAGTATTCTTTTGTAAAATGCGTAAAACGTGTTTTTGTTAGAAAGACTTCTCTAAAGTATTATTAGTCTCTAACAATAATTGAGATATGTAACCAATCCCTAGATAGTTTAGTGGTTTGATATAATTTTTTATTGTATTACCCAAGAGGTTCTGAGTTTGAGTTCTTCATCGGTTGCTAATAAGGGTGACCACTGGAGTTCTTAATTAGCCGATAGTTTCAGGATCTTAGAAGATTAATTGAAGGTCCTGAGGGATTAGTTAAGATACGTGTAAATTGGCCAGACACCCTCGGTCATAAAAAATAATAATAATAATTGAGAAATATTTGGTAAAAATGTTATGATTTTTAATTCCAATTTTAAGAAAATGCAACATTGACATCATAGAAACACTAAATACAAATACATATATATAAAATATAAGAATGGCTTAATCATACCGTACGTCTATTTCCTGCCCTAAATTATACTAGTTTTTCAAATTGACTAATTACTAACTCTACAGAATATTTGACTTAATGAAAAATTAAAGTCATGACCTACAATTCAATTCCATTGCTTAACTTGAGCTTACAAGAAACCGTACATTGAGCGGAAAATCAATGCTAGCTGTTATTCTACAACCACCATTTGTTTATCAAATTAAATATTTTTCTGAGCAACATTTTTTAATTTGAACCGCATGTATATATTTATTTAGCATTATTAATTTATCATATATTTATTTTTAAAATGTCTTGATAGCCCACCTGTCCCATAAAATCAGCTGGAGATTACAGTGATTGATTGTATAAATCTGCGAATTTGTCATCCCTGCAACATATAGAGAAGAAATTGACTATTTGTAGTGTGAAAACAAGAAAATTCTGAAGCCAGTGGCTATTGAATCTTTCCTATTTAAGACTGAATTTTGCAATAAGACGAATAACTTGATCAAATCATGGCTACCGCCGGAGAATCATCAGCTCGTTCTCTGGAAAAGACACCGACGTGGGCTCTTGCCGTGGTTTTCTTTGTCATCGTATTCATTTGCATAATCATAGAACACTCTATCCATCTTCTTACCCACGTAAGTTTAATTAATTCAATATATTTAACCTAATCTCCCTTTTCTATTCAAGTAAATTAATCAATCTTTAAGCTTACATAAATTAATTTACCAATGTAGTGGCTTAAGAAACGTCGGAAAAATGCGTTGATCGATGCAGTGGACAAGCTCAAATCAGGTACATATGCATGCAATTGAAGATAAATATTATTTCTTTTTATTTTCTTTTTTGTGAGTGTATATATGTGGATATTTGGTGCAGAATTGATGCTTCTGGGCTTCATGTCACTTCTATTGGCGGTGACTCAAAGCTTTATATCTAATATCTGCATACCCACCAAGGTTGCTGACATTATGCTTCCATGTCTTAAAGCCGTCGAATCCGAATCTCTTGATGTAAAAAGTTTTGAGCACTATGGAAATAAAAATATTAATCGAAACTTATTATCCATGGATGGTTTGTATGAATATATGGTATGGCAAGCAAATAGGCGACGACTAGATGATGACACTGAGGTTGAAGATGATGCTGCTGGTGCAGTTTCTGATTCTTGCACTTCCAAAGTATGCCACCAAAATAGACATATATTATCTTTTATTTTCTATTTTTTTCAATATTTTCATATTTCTTTGCTCATGATGTACACCTTAAATTATTTGCAGGGAAAGGTTTCTTTAATATCCACAGATGGGATCCTTCAGCTACGCATATTTATTTGTGCGCTAGTAGTTATGCAGATTGTGTATAGCGTCCTCACCATGGCTTTGGGCAGGGCCAAGGTAAAAGGTTTCTTGTGAACTATAAAAAAAAATCTCCTTATTAATGCAACTCTACATTTACATATCGACGTATCGTTTTTGTGTTGTTTGTATAAATATGATTTATAAGGGATTGACATTTTTACTTTATCCCAATTGCAGAGAATATATTATATTATATCATCTGAAATATTCTGCTTCGAGGTATTTATGTATATGTTATACTTTCTTCAATATTTCTTCTTGTTGATATTACAGATGAGGCGCTGGAAAACTTGGGAAAAAGAAACTCGAACAACAGAGTACCTGGCTGCAAATGGTATATATTTTGGGTGCCATTTTAAATTTTCATCTTGCGTAATCATCAAGAATCAACTTGTTATGTACCTTGGAATTTTCTTCCCTGATAAATTATTACACCTGTCTTTGCCAACATGTTGCCGGGTTGTCTTGGACGTTGAAGTTGAAGAAAAAATGTTAAAAGGGCAAGAAAATAGATGTATATTATTGGTCTTTTCGATATATAGTATCTAACTTTCCAACTCAAATATCATTTTCTGGACATTAAATAATCAAGAAATTCATCTGCACCGTTCATAAGATTAAAATGACATGTTTTGACTATAATTAAAATAACGCGTTTTTACTTGGCGTAAATGATTCAATGACTTCTTCTGGTTCTAATTTTTCCTTCATTTAATTACTAGATCCTGACCGATTCAGATTGACGAGACAAACAACATTCGGTAGACGGCACGTAACTTCCTGTACAGAAACATCAACTCAGCTCTGGATTGTGAGTTTCCTTTTTGCTTGATCGATCTTTAAAGTTTGCTTGATCGATCAACATTATAATGACTTGAATTAATTTGGATGATTATGAAATGGAGCAGAAATGTTTTTTCAGGCAGTTCTTTCGTTCAGTTGCAAAAGTTGATTATCTAACCTTGAGACATAGTTTCATTTCGGTGAGCCTTTCGATTCCTGTTCTTAATTTTAAATATGAATGAGATTTCATTTTTTAACATTAAGATTATGTTTCATTAATTTCTCAGGCTCACATGTCATCAGCTAGGTATAACCATTACTTCAATTTTCAAAAATACATACAGCGATCCTTAGAGGAGGATTTCAAGGTCGTGGTTGGAATCAGGTAATTAATTATCAAATCTCTCTCTACTTTAAATTTTTCACTTTATTAATATAAATATTACACGTTAATTTAATCAAAAATTACATTCTTGACAGTCCTCTAATGTGGTTTGTTGTCGTCATTTTCTTGCTTCTAGATGTTCACGGTATGTATATAATGTTAATTCGCCTGTTCATTTCATTTTTTGCCGGCTTTTTAAGGAGTATTATAGAATCTTTATATTAGGTTTTATGCATCCAATTTTTCTGAACTCGATCAGGTTGGCAAAAGATTTTTGCGGCGACAACCTATGTTCCACTCTTGGTAAGTGTTTGGAGATAATATTATTTGTGTTTTGTGTCTTCGATCGAGTTTTCTAATGGTTTCTTGCAACCCATCATTTTAATCACAACTTTATCTCAATTTGCAGATAGTGCTACTTGTGGGAACCAAACTTGAAACAATTGTGGCGAAAATGGCTCTTCGTATCAATGAAAGAACCGATGTGATCAAGGGGACTCCCCTGGTTGAACCTAGTGATAAACTCTTCTGGTTCGGACGCCCGCGATTTGTTTTGATTCTTCTTCACTTTACTCTATTTCTGGTAATTGGATCCACCTCAAGAAATATATATCTAGATATATATATATATTATATATATATCAACTTTGACTAATCATATATATTAATTTTTCAGAATGCATTTGAGCTTGCCTTCTTCATTTGGGTTTCGGTATGTGTTCCATTATATTATTTCTTATTGTTACAACATCTCAGGTTCTTCATTTGGTTCCAATAAATATAGCTTTAATATTTTCTTTCTTTGGCAGACACAATTTGGTGTAGACTCTTGCTTCCATGAGCATACTGCTATCACTGTAACAGGGGTGGTATTAGCGTAAGAATCAAATGCCTTAAATGATAATTTACTGATTCAAAATCTTTAATTAGTTCAATTTTATGATTTTAATTTCACTTAATTAATTCCTCAGCATAATCGCTCAAGTCCTGTGCAGCTATATCACTCTTCCTCTATATGCACTGGTGACACAGGTACAAATACAATATTGATATTAAATTAATGGTAGATTAAATAAATTAAGGGAATTATAAAACTGAAGACTTCTAATTGGGTTTCTTATTATTTATACACAGATGGGTTCACAATTCAGGAGTAGAGTACTAGAAGAACAAACGGCTAAGATCATAAAGCAATGGCATACCGAAGTGAGGGAGAGAAAGAAGAAAGAGGAGGAATATGGTTTACATTCTCCTCCTCGAATTTCTTTGTCTAAAGAGTGGAGCTCCAAGATGGGTAGTCCCATTAATGAATTCTCTTCTCTGATCCAAAGACTCGTGTCAATGCCTAAAGAAAGCAATAATAATAATCAGTTGGCTAACAAAGGAAAACTCGTACTCGTAGATGAGGCAAGCTCATCAAGGAGTCCATCCCCAGTGGTGAAGCGAGAAATGCTGATGCTAAGACGACACTAGTCAAAATGTTTAACCATTGAAAGAGTCATAACATAACGAGTCCAATGTTTTCTATTCTATGCTAAACCTGCGAAAGGGACATGAAGATAGATGATGAAGAAGAAAATAATTAAGTTGTGTAGATGTTAGTATCCTTTTGTATAAATATAATTGTTAGACTCTGATGGGATTAAGGTTCTTAAATTATTTATAGATGTTCAAGTGGAGGGTTCAGGACTTATATTTTCTTGGATTAATTATCTCTGTCTCCTGTTATTCGGAATATTATTTCGATATTCTTACTTAAATAATCACTACAACATTATGCATTTCTAGTTATGACGTTCATTGTATTTAAAAATATTAATTTGCATAGTTAAATGGTTTAGTTACAACTGCAATTTTTTATAACTTATCATATAGCTAAAAGTGGCCCAACTAGAAGTGAGTCATGTAACTTTTTGCTTACGTAGCTAACAGTTTATATTTTTTGTTAGATGAAATTAATATATAACTAAAAACTGAAATGTTTTTGGCATAACAATAATAAAATTGTAACAAAAGTTTTGCCTTTTATAGCCATGGAGAACAGTTTATATAGTTATGTTTCAATTTTAGCTATACAAATATAAATTTATAACTAAAACTTATAAATTCCTATTACAAACATAATATCCATAACAAATATATTAACATTTTGGCTACATGACCACTAAATTCGTAACTAAATAAAAAGATCATTTGCCATATAAATAGTGAATTCATAGCTAAATATTAAATTATTTGCTACGGACATATAGAAGTTGTGGACCAAAGAGTCAAAAATTAAACTACTATGGTCTATTTGTAATTTGTACAAAATGGTGTCGTTTTGAGTTGCCTAATATGTACAACACTAGTTTACATTTTACACTGATAGTTTGATATTGTTTTGCTTTACTAAAACAGTATGAAGTCAACTCTCTCTGTAATCTCACGATTCACTCTCTTAATCAAAGGATTAGGGATTCCTTTCTCATTTTCAATTCTCTCAAATTGATTTTTTCAATTCTTAACTTCATCATACTGTTACAGTGCCTTGTTCTCAACCCAGCCCCTGCTCAACAGTTGGTAAGAATAATTCTGCTTCAGTTTTGAATCCTCTTATCCAAACTTAACTTCATCATCTTCTCACAACTCTAATTTCTCCTCTACACTATTGTTGTGGATTTTCGTAAGTGTACGAAATTGTGTAAGTAATAAAGTGTAAAATTACGGATATCGAACTCTAGGGAGTTACTATTATCAATTACCAATTAAACTATCCTATTACTATTTGATCGATCTAAATTGTATCAAGGAAAATCTAAACTAAATTAGCAATTGAATTTAAAAAGAAAACTAAAAAGAGAACAATTAAAATAAACCTTTGGGTAAAAACAAGATGACTAGACTTAAGGCATAGACTTCACACCAACTCTTATTCATATGTATCAATCTCTTATGCTAATTTTGTTAAGCTCTTCCTACAGGTCAAACTCCCTAAATTTCCAATAACTTTCTCTCGAACAATTATCAAATTAACTCCTAATTGCTAACCCGAATTATCTCTTATCAGATTTAAGCAATTGGAGATCATTATGCTCTATGGAGTTTACCAAAACCTCACAAGTTGCGGTAACCTATCTCTAGCGTTCGCTCAACCTATGGTTTTACTACCGTAGACCAACTAAGTATCATCTCTCAATCTTAACCTAGTCCATTAGTTCATTCAATTCTTGGGCCCTTAAGAATCAAAAGCATTAGGAATCATAGTAAAACTTAGGAAAAATTCTTAATAAAAATTAACAATCAAAGATCAACACATAATCAAGAGATTGGGCTACATCTTAGCCCTAGAGAATAAATTTAGTTCATAATAAACATGAAAGAAACAATCATCTTTATTAAAACAATCATCGTGAGTTTATAAGAAAAAAACAAGAAAAACTTCTCTATATTGTAAATCAAAGCTCCAGAACTTATATTACTTCTCTTCTCAGATTTTTCTTCTCTTCTTCTCACCAAATAAATCCCCAAAATAATGCTAAAAGACTTCTATTTATATCCCACAAGGGTTAGGGTTTTATTTTTCTTAATTCTATTTGGTTTAGGACTTTTATCCCTATTCTCCTACCTAAAAACGGATAACCAGTTTTTAACTTCCTTGACTGTGCCGCGGCACTGTGCTATGGCACATTAGCTACTGGCCAGAGTGTGCCGCAACACTGTGCCACGACACAGTAATTTCTTCTTCTTCCCGCATCATTCCATTATTCTTCAGAGATGGTGATTTTTGAACTTGATAACGATGAAATTTGGAAAAGTGATAAACATATGAAATGTAACCCTTTGAATCAAGTTTCCAACAGTCCAAGAATCGTCTTAATCCAAGTTCTACAGCTCAATATATTCTTAAAATACCGAGGCATACTCAAGCTAGAACGTAATCAAGAATCTTCTCTTTACTTCAACTTCCATAACTTCTTCAATTCAACTCCGATTCTTGATCCGCTTGTTTCTACTCGTCACTTATTCCATTGCCGATATGATTCTTCATCCGAGCATAACATTTAAGCACTAGTAGCCTTAAAAACACTCAAAAACACCCATGATCTCGTAAAAGACAATTATAAAAATATTAAGCAACTTTACCAAATTAAGCCTAATTTCCCACAATTAATCCCGATAAACGACTAACTAAATGTGTATTTTCAAGCTCTTATCAACTACAACCTTCAAAAAATCCAGATTTCCTATCTACTTCTCATTCCTCTTGTCCTTTAATAGTTGATCTCACTGCTCAACCAAACTTAACCCCATGTTCCTCTACTTTACCCCAACCTGTTTCATCATGTCATCTTGAAGTTGATTTAGGTTCATTCTAGCATCCTACTTCAATCAATGTTCCACAAGTTAATCAGAATATTCACACTATGGTGACTAGGGCCAAATCTAAAAACACCACTTAAAACAAAGTTGATCTTCTTACCTCTGGCTCATCCTCTGTTTCGTCATCCTCCTCACATGTTGTTCCTTAACCCTTCTCTGTCAAAGAGGCCTTAAGTATTGTCGAATGGCAAGAAGCAATGCAGATTGAGTTTAATGCTTTGCTTAAGAACAACACTTGGTCCTTAATTCCTCCTACTAGTGATATAAATGTAGTAGGGAACAAATGGGTATTTAGAACCAAGTTTAATTTAGATGTTTATCTTCAAAAGTATAAGGAAAGGCTGGTTGCCAAGGGTTTTCAGCAAAACTCAGGCTTAGATTACTTTGAAACCTTCAGCCTAGTGATAAAACCTTCCACCATCAAAATTATCCTTACCTTAGCTGTAACCAATGGCTGGGATATTCAGTAGATAGACATCAATAATGCCTTCCTGAATGGTACTCTAAATGAGACTGTCTTTATGAAACAACCTTAAAGATTTGAGCATCCTCGGTTTCTTGGTTTTGTGTGCAAACTTCAAAAGGCTTTGTATGGGTTAAAACAAGCACCCATAGCATGGTTTGACAAGTTTAAAGAGGTCTTACTTGCCAAAGGTTTCAGAAATTCAGTGTCAGATTCCAATTTGTTTGTTTATAAGGAAGGTGATCACTGTCTTCTCATCTAGTAGATGACATCTTGATCACTGGTGTAAATAAGGATTTCATACACAAGTTGGTTCAAGATCTTAAAGATCACTACTTTCTTAGCATAGAGGCCACCAAAACTTCTCACGATATTCATCTCAAACAAACCAAGTATGTTCTTGATTTGTTGGTTAAGACTAAAATGGCTGATGCACACTCTTGTTCAACACCTCTAGTAGTCAGCACTAAACTGTTTTCTACCGATAGTGAACATTTTAAAGATCCAACTTTGTACAGAAGTATAGTGGGGCTTTGCAATATCTCACCTTAACCAAACCTGACATCAGCTTTATTGTTAACAAGCTGAGTTAGTTCTTACAAGCTCCCACAAAAGTTCAATGGCAAGCATGCAAGAGAGTTCTTCGGAATCTAAAAGGCACTCAAGATCATGGACTCCAATTCAAACTAGCAGCACCAATGTGTTGTGAATGCTATGTTGATGTAGATTGGGGTAGCAACCTTGATGATAGGAGCTCCACCACTGGCTATTATATTTACTTGGGTCCCAATCTGATTCAATAGAGCTCCGAAAAGAGAAGGTAGTTGTTTTGTTCTCCACAGAGGCTAAGTGTAGAGCTTTAGCTCACACAGCAACTGAGATAGCTGATTGAATAGTATTTTCTTTGAATTGGGTCCAGATTTCAATCAAGCACCTTTCATTTGGTGTGGTAATATTAGTGCAGGTGCATTGGCTGCCAATCCTGTGTTTCATGCAAGGACAAAGCACATCAAGATTGATGCTCATTATATAAGAGATCAAGTCTTGGCTAGGCAACTTTTGGTTCAATATGTGCCTACAAAGCTGCAAATTGCAGACATTTTAACTAAAGATTTTTCCTCTACTCAGTTTCAGGAATTAAAGGAAAAGCTTAATGTTTTAGTTGTATCTTGCTCTAACTGAACCTTTGCTGAAGTTTCTTCTAATTGTCTTTGTGCTTCACTTGAGGTTCTATTGTCTTCCACAACTTTGGCTCACCTTTGGTGCTGCATTTTTGTTATTGTCTTCCATAGCTTTGGTTCACCTCTGGTGCTACATTTTTACTATTGTCTTCCACGGCTTTGGTTCACCTACGGTGTTGTATTTTCTATTTCCTCATTGTTCATCTTGAGGTTCTAGAGTTAAATGCAGCACTTTGCTGCTTCATTTTTGTTATTGGCCACCCTGCAGATTTCAAAATGTAGTTTGGATATTTGATGCTCATCTAAAGTTCTTCTTGTGATTAAAGATTTTGTTTTGAAGGGACATATGATCATCCTTGAGCAGGATCTACCTTGAGAATTCAGTTTGAGTGGGAATCTGGACCAAAGAATCAAAAATTCAAACTGAGAGTTAAATTTGAGTGGGAATGTGGACCAAAGAATCAGAAGTTCAAACTAAGAGTTCAGTTTGAATAGGAATGTGAACCAAAGAATCAAAAGTTCAAATTGGGAGTTCAGTTTGAGTGGGAACATGGACCAAAGGGTCAGAAATTAAACTACTGTGCTCTGTTTGTAATTTGTACAACATTGGTTTACATTTTACACTGATATTTTGCTACTGTTTTGCTTTACTAAAACAATATAAAGTCAGCTCTCTCTGTAATCTCATGATTCACTCTCTTAATCAAAGGATT